AGGATTTAGCAAGCCATAGCTCAAGTCCAGGAGATGCATAAAGGAATTGTGCCATTGAATGAGCAGGATAATTTAGATGTGTTAATCCCACTCCCCTACACAGTGGGGGCATCACTTTTCCTCCGCTGTCAGGAAATAGGTTCAGTGCTTACTGGCCTTTCTGACAAAGTGTCCTGTTGCTGACTGGCATCCCCAAACCACCCTACTTGGTCTCTGCTCAACCTGCTCATACTGTCGGTTACTCCACTGGATCAGTTTGCAAAAAGGTCTCTGCTATGTATCAAGTGTATCCAATCCTCTTCCCAACTTCACTTTTAGTGTCCCCAGTGTTAGCTTTTCTATTTGCTTATGTACAAAACCCCACCTGATAAAACTATAAAAGAATATGTTTACAGCCAGGAAATTAAGTCCTCCAGGTTATCCACATAATCACTAACAAAAATAAAAATTCACAAAAGATAAACATTACTAATTCTAGTGGTGCTTCACTGCTCAGTCTTAAAAGTCACCTGAACTTAACATGCTGATAATTAATAAGTCACTTTCCCATTAATTCCTGTTTCCTGTGAACAACCATCCCACCTTGTAGGGTATTTCCAATGATTTGAGGGCCTCTGTTTTTTCTGTAGAATATTACTTTCTGAGTAGATTCCTCAGGGATCTAGAAGAACAGGCTATGCATCTCTTATACCCCAGCTATACAGTTTTACCTCACTACTGTTCATGGCCAACCCTCCTGTGATTTACCAAACCTATGAATCATTCAGGGAAGAAACACGATGCCACAACCTTAATTTGTTTCAGTTTCCTCCTAAGCAAGTGAAGATCTACACAAAGAGCTCTTTCAACCTTGTCAATATACAAGCTAGAATACAGCCTGACCCCAGGAAACTATTCTGAACATGTTTGTTGAGCTGAAGCTGATAATAAGCTTTAGGGCTGACTCATTTCAAGGTCTCAGAACAGAGCAAGTGTCTTAGGATTACATTGCACTTTATTTACAAGCCCAGGCAAGAAACAGCACTAGAATTGTAGCTTTGCAGAGTGTCAGAATTACAATGTACTTACTAAATATTCTGGCTGATAAATGGCATGGCTGGCCTAAGAGGAAAGAGCCGGACCTGGAAATACTTCCATCCTTCAGGACTGTTAATGTCCCTCTCCAGGCCAAAGCCTAGATATGCTAGTACATATTACTGCATCCAGTACAGAGAAGCATTTGGATTGCTCTTCACACCATATAACAAAAGCCAGGGAATGGTATTGTCTGAGCTTCCAAGAAACTGAGCAATGTAAGTGCAGCAAGGATTTGGATTTCATTAGGTTCATTAGGTTCTAAAAGGC